AATACGCCCTTAAGTACTACTTCTTAACGTGATGCGCCATCCTCCTCCTCCTCTGCTGCTGTTGAGTCCAACGCCGCCACTATCACCACGCCTGGGCACCACCACTACCACCACGGGGCACTGGGCCGCTTCTAGGCCACTCTGGGGGAGTAAGATGAAGGAAGGAGCCGCACTGGGCCATACATGTAGCAAGGCCATATGAAGCCACTAGTGTGCCATAAGAGGGGTCGCATCAGGCCGCTACACAGACGACAGACGCAACCTACTGCTGCAATGCAGTTGCCCCCCAAGAGCCTACAGTATACTGGGCCAAGGGGGGAGGGCGACTCTGGGAAGGGGGTGAGGTATTGCAAGCGCGCAGGCAGGAGAGCAAAACCAGAATTCATACTGAGATACTGATGGTTCACACTGACACAACATAATTACACTTTTCAACAGCAAATGATCAAATATGTAAACAAATTTGACTTACGAGAAAATCTAAAACACGTCTTCCAAATTAAGTTATTACACCTGTACGTCACATTCTGAGTCATCGACAGGTGTGTAAATTAAGACAAATGTTTGGTGTCATCCACACCACCTAATGGCACCTGTGTAGTCCAAGGGTGGAGTATAAAAGTTCACATTACAGAAAACGGATCAAACTTAAAGAAAATGGACACAAATTTTTATTTCAAAAAATAGATAACAATTTCCCCCAATTCCAGATAAGTGAAAAAAAATTATTATAAAAAAATATGTACAACTTCCTATTAAATATGAAATACTTAGTTTTCTTATTACAAAAAATGGATAATTACAATAACTTTATCACTATTAAAAAAAAAGCCAAAACAACTATAAACCCGTATTAAATAAAAAAAATCCCGTAATTATTAAAAAATCATAATAATAAAAAAGTCATACCCACACTGTCTTAGAGCCTGGCTTTACCCCGGCTTTACCCCACACCAAGTAAGGAGTCAGTCGTATACACAATAAAATCCCGAGCCAGGCCTGTATACCCCCAAATAAGACTCGTTATATACAGAGAGCATCCTGGACCCCTCTGGCTTCACCTGTAAGGATAGAGTCATACACACACAGTATCCTGAATATCTCTAGCGCCATCACCCTCCTCCTCCTATTCTTCCTTCTCCTCCTACTAGTCACAAGGAGGCTCCCCACAAGTCGAATGCATTACGAGTACATGACATACTCTGGTGCTCTTGTGACGACAGGCCAACGTTGACGAAATAACACAAGTGACATAAAAAATTCAGAAAAAAAGTATTTTTATTAATGGTGGGGAGTGTTGGTGTGGGCGTTGGGTACTGTTACATGTTCCTGAGGACTTATCTGGGGAGGGAAAGGGAGGGGAGAGGGGTACTATGGCGGGGAAACGGAAGGGGGGAGATTGGAGGCGTGGGAAGGGGGGTGATGAAAAAATTAAATTTATAAAAAAACAAATAGGATTATGAGATTAAATTAAGCAAAATTAATATGGAAATCGAGGAGGAGGAGAGAAGGAAGGGTGAGAAATAGGAAGGGAGGGGAGATAAAGAAGGGTTAAGGAGATGAAAAGAAATTGAAAATGAATAAGATTAGAAGGAATAGATGATGGTGGAGTAGGAGGAGAACAAGGAGGAGGAGGTGAGGAGGAGGAGGAGAAGGAGAGGTGAGGAGGAGGACAAGAAGGAGGAGGTGAGGAGGAGGACAAGAAGGAGGAGGAGGTGAGGAGGAGGACAAAGAGAAGGGAAGGTGAGGTGGAGGACAAGAAGGAGGAGGTGAGGTGGAGGACAAGAAGGAGGTGAGGAGGAGGACAAGAGAAGGGGAAGGTGAGGTGGAGGACAGAAAGGAGGAGGAGGTGAGGAGGAGGACAAGAGGAGGGAGGTGGGAGGAGGGGACAAGAGGAAGGTGAGGAGGAGGACAAGAAGGAGGAGGTGAGGAGGAGGACAGGAGGAGGACAAAGAGAAGGAGAAGGTGAGGAGGAGGAGGACAAGAAGGAGGAGGTGAGGAGGAGGACAAAGAGAAGAAGGTGGGGAGGACAAGAAAGAGAAGGTGAGGGAGGAGGACAAAGAGAAGGAGAAGGTGAGGAGGAGGACAAGAAGGAGGAGGTGAGGAGGAGGACAAAGAGAAGGAGGAGGTGAGGAGGAGGACGAGAAGGAGGAGGTGAGGAGAACGAGAAGGAGGAGGTGAGGAGGACAAAGAGAAGGAGAAGGTGAGGAGGAGGACAAGAAGGAGGAGGAAGTGAAGAAGAGGGAGAAGACATGAATAAGGTACTAAGAGTTTTTCATGTTAATAAGTCGAGAGGTAAATATAAATATATATATTCTAAACTTATTTTATAACAAAACTCAAAAAAAAAATTAAGTGGAAGAATATACAAAATTTGAATAAAAAGGCGAGTTACCTAACCTACCCAAACTTAATCAACAGTAACTTAACCTAACCTCATCAAACCTACCCTAACCTAACAGTAACTTAACCTAATCTCATCAAACCTACCCTAACCTAACAGTAACTTAACCTAATCTCATCAAACCTACCCTAACCTAACAGTAACTTAACCTAATCTCATCAAACCTACCCTAACCTAACAGTAACTTAACCTAACTCATCAAATCTAATCAAACCTAACCCGACTAAACCTAACCTCACTAAACCAAACACAACCTAGCCTATAATCAAAACCTAACCTAACCTAACCTAACCAAACACAAACTAGCCTGTAATCAAAACCTAACCTAACCTAACCAAACACAAACTAGCCTGTAATCAAAACCTAACCTAACCTAACCTAACCAAACACAAACTAGCCTATAATCAAAACCTAACCTAACCTCCCACCAGGTACCGTTAAGGTCTTTAAAAAAAAACTCAGATGAAATAAACTGGGGTGCTTAATATACAGGTAATCCGACAGAGAAACTCAACAAGTGAAAACGTAATAAGGAAGTGTGTAAGAATTCGTCCAAGTCAATTATGCAAAACCCACAGAAACGACAGGTGATGAAAAGTAACCAATCAAGATCCAGGAACAGATTACCTGGCAACCAATCAGGCAAGAGGGAAAAAAAACTCATGGAAGCCAATTAATGGTTATATATCGATATAGGGGAACCAATAAGCGACTGAGTTTATTTATTGTCGAGTTCTATAATATACATCGACCAATCAGTAGCCACATTTATAAACAGGCCAATCAATGAGTTAGTATATTATGTATAGCCAATCCGCGTTAAGTTTTTTATTTAAGAGGTGACCAATTAGAAATTAGCTTCACACATGCAATCAAGAAACAGTGGTTAAGTAACATAAGGCAATATTACAACTTTTCTAATATGATTGACGTTGGTGTGTGTGAGAGCCAGTGTGTGTGTGTGTGTGTGTGTGTGTGTGTGTGTGTGTGTGTGTGTGTTTTACATGTTTGAGATCGGTGAGAGAAAAACAAGTGTGACTTTCTGAACCGTGTGTGTGCGTGTGTGTGTGTGTGTGCGTGTGTGTTTGTGTGTGTGTGTGTAAGGCAATACAAGTTTCAGACACGTTTCAAAGTTAAGAATGAGAGATCCAGTGTGAATTACTAAAATGTTTGGAGGTTGAAAATGAAAATAAAAAAAGGTTACCGAGGCAGCTTTAAGGCTTCTACAATAAATCTTACAACCACCTGGTAAACAGCTTGGCATTTTCCTTTGTGTATCATCGAACCAATCAAAATCGTGAACTGGGGTAAAACAAAAATAAACCAACCAATGAGAATAAAGAAGCGAGAAGAGCCATCCAATCGCTGTAAGTATTAAAGACTTGGTAGTTAGCCTGTGGTCCCCGGTAGTTGGCCACATTGACACACACAAGACATTTGAGGAAAAAGATATTAAGAATCCCACAGTTGGCCAATTACGACTTTTCAAAGTTTACCCACGAGACTAAAAATATTATACACCCGACGGTATGCAGGGGCCTCGATACTCTGACACACCTCTCTAATACGACCACCTCCTGCTACACCCAGATCACACTCATCCACGGCACTACACCCGTCACCCACCGTAACCACCACACCCGTTACTAGTGGTGAGTGAGACAGGTGGTGGGAGGAGTGTCGGTGTGGTGAGGCGGAGGACGGAACCTGTCCCTTCATTAGCTGACATGTCACCAGGCTCCCAGCCACACTTTTCTGCGGGATAATGGTGTGCAAACTTTTCCACCAAACCCACACAAAAATACTGTTTTCCGAGTCAACTTCCCCGACGATATTTCCTAAAAATTAATTACGGGTTGTGTTTGATCGTCTACATGGACCGAGACAATAAATGAATATCCACTGAAAAAGAAAAGTTAGTGTGTATATGTATATATATATATATACATATATATATATATATATATATATATATATATATATATATATATATATATATATATATATATATATATATATGTGTGTGTGTGTGTGTGTGTGTGTGTGTGTGTCATTCCCAGGCACCTTCTGCTTAAAGTAATCAATATGAGAAGTGTTTTTACCTCATAAGTGTTGGCCAGAATCAACACCCCTCAACACCACTCCCCCTCCCCTGTGGCCATCAGACAACACCTCGACTCAACTCCTTAAGACGGTTGCCTCACAATACCTGGCCTAATGGACTGGGTGTAAGCAACTCCTGCCAGAGCACTCGAGTTGTCTGACTGACAAAGACCAAGATAGTGTAGAACGCTTCCTTCACCTCCTGAAATAAAAACAACTCGAGACAACCCCGCACCTCACACTGAGATTATTTTTACAATGATCGGTGTTTCACCACCATCATCATCATCATTAGTATTCACCATAACTCCATCCTTTCCTCCTTTTGTCTCACACGATGATTACTAACTTGAGCACAAAGACATTAATCAGGACAATTTCTCTTCCATCTAAAACTTGAAACCTTTTATGATACTTCCGTCTGTTAATTACCTGTGTTAATATATTTTTTGTGAATGTTAATCCTAGAATTTTAACATTTATCTTAAAGTGATCACGATTCATCTCGATATATATTCGAAGTGAGTGGGATGATGTAGTGTACGTGGGAGGTGGCGTGATGAACTGTGTACGTGGGAGGTGGCGTGATGAACTGTGTACGTGGGAGGTGGCGTGATGAACTGTGTACGTGGGAGGTAGCGTGATGAACTGTGTACGTGGGAGGTGGCGTGATGAACTGTGTACGTGGGAGGTAGCGTGATGAACTGTGTACGTGGGAGGTGTGGTGGAACTGTGTAGCGTGATGAACTGTGCATGTAAAAGTGGGATGTACGTGCGCGAGGTGGCGTGATGAACTGTGTAGCGTGGGAGGTGGCGTGATGAACTGTGCGCCGTGGTGAGGTGTGCGTGGGAGGTGGCGTGATGAATGCATGTGGGAGGTGGCGTGATGAACTGTGTACGGAGGTAGCGTGATGAACTGTGTACGTGGGAGGTGGCGTGATGAACTGTACGTGGGAGGTGGCGTGATGAACTGTGTACGTGGGAGTGGCGTGATGAACTGTGTACGTGGGAGGCGTGATACTGTGTGGGAGGTAGCGTGATGAACTGTGTACGTGGGAGGTGGCGTGATGAACTGTGTACGTGGGAGGTGGGCGTGATGAACTGTGTACGTGGGAGGTGGCGTGATGAACTGTGTACGTGGGAGGTGGCGTGATGAACTGTGTACGGGAGAGGTAGTGTGATCAACAGTGTACGTGGGAGGTAGCGTGATGAACTGGTACTTGGGAGGTGGCGTGATGAACTGTGTACGGGAGGTGGCGTGATGAACTGTGTACGTGGAGGTGGCGGATGAACTGTGTACGTGGAGGTGGCGTGATGAACGGTACGTGGGAGGTGGCGTGATGAACTGTGGTACGTGGGGTGGCGTATGAACTGTGTACGTGGGAGGTAGCGTAATGAACTGTGTACGTGGGAGGTGGCGTGATGAACTGTGTACGTGGGAGGTGGCGTGATGAACTGTGTACGTGGGAGGTAGTGTGATCAACAAGTGCCACACAGCTTCAGCTGGTCGTCAAGGCACAGTGCCACACAGCTTCAGCCGGTTCGTCAAGGCACAGTGCCACACACAGCTCCAGCAGGTTGTCAAGGCACAGTGCCACACACCCCACACCCACACACCACACACACAGTCAGGCACAGCTCCAGCAGGTTGTCAAGGCACAGTGCCACACAGCTCCAGCAGGTTGTCAAGGCACAGTGCCACACAGCTCCAGCAGGTTGTCAAGGCACAGTGCCACACAGCTCCAGCAGGTGTAGACGATAACAAAAATACTTCTAGCGAGGAGAAAACCTGGGCCACTCGTCAACGCCACTTGGGGTACACACCATTTCCACACGACCTCTAGAAGCGACCTCCTCCTTATTCAGTTAGCATGAATATCCTCCCTGTGCCTCCTACTAAAACCTCAATCAGTATTATCCGTGGGGGCTAATGGCGCTCCTCTTTCCCAGAAGAACCTACCCACACATAATCCCCACCATCTCCACTCACCCCCCACCCCCTCCCTCCCCCTCCCCACCCAAATATATATATATGAATTTCTAACTCGCGTTAATCCCACATGAACTTTATGTATTTCCTCTGGAACTAAAAGCCTTCTATACACACTGTTCTAGACATGTCTTAGTATTGCAGGTAACATTAGTCTACTTGTTCTATAGTTATAGCCGTAAGGACCAAAATTAGCTTCTGTACACTGACCCGGTACACTGACACTAAAACACTCAGCCCTTACACACACACAAAAAAAAAAATAATTAATTAATTAATAGATCCCCCCATGCAGTATATTCTCCAATAATGAAAAAGAAAATTCCAATGTCTTAACAATCACCAACAACTAGGTAGCTAACACCAATAACAACCACCATAAACCTTACCAACTACAACAATCACCACCACCACCACCAACAACAACCACCACCATCACCAACTACACCCACCAGTCAACAATCACCACCACCAACAACAACAGCAACCACTACCACCACCATTACCAAAAACACCACCATTATCACCAACAATCACCAGCACTCGGCAGCAGGGAGGAGGGAGGCTGCCTCACTCAGCCTTATAAGCCGACACTTAATTTAGACTTAGTGAAGCTTAACAGGTCTCTCTCAGGACTTAGCTGGGTGATTACAGCCGCGGGGGGAAGGTGAGAGAGAGAGAGTACGCCATCTCCATAATACCGGACCATAATCCTTGCTTGTTAAATTCTAAGACCAATTTCCCCTTTAATTGTCACTATGTTCACCTGTTTAAATGTTCTTTGTTCACTGTCCCAAGAGAACAACTATTATCACTCTAATTCCACCCTTTATCTATCTTAAGTGAACCCAACCCTGGTCTTAAAGTGAACCCAACCTTATAAAAGTGAACCCAACCCTATAAAAGTGAACCCAACCCTATAAAAATGAAACCAAGCCCCTAAAAGTGAACCCAACCTCTACTCTTAAAGTGAACGCAACTTGCTGACACACCCACGGCAACGATCACTACGCCCTTATTATACTAAGATGGGCTGAAAGTTACAATGACAAAGAGACATATACAACAATGTATTTATAATTCTACAAAGGCATAAACTCACCTGTATCATCATTATACCTGCTTTAATGATATGTCTACCTGGATTTTTTTTTTATAAGCAAAGGTGTGAAGGAAGGGCAGGTACTAATGATGTTTGCTAGATTGTAGACACGTGACAGCCAGTTGTGTTTACAGTGGAGGCATATTGGTGACGTGGTAGTTTGTCTGTTTAGCTTCAATTCTCCATGCCAAATGTGATCAATTTCTTCCCCTCTTTCTCTCATTCAATTCTATTACACTTCGTTTTCTACCATTTTCCTCACTTTTCTTCTTTTCTGAGTTCTTCCCATTTTCTCTTTCGTTCAATCCTCACAATTCTCTCTCTCACTCTCTCTTTCTCCTTTTCTCAATTCCTTCAGACCTTTTCCCCATTAGCTTACTCCTTCCCATTATCACCACTCTATCTATTTCTCCCTTTTATCACCCCCATCTCCTTCTCCCCATTAACACCCCACTACCTACTCCTCCCTATACTCTCTTGGTTTTGCCTCACTCCTCCCCACACCATCTCCCCAGGTGTATTCTTCTCCCCATTCCTCAACCCTCACGAATCCTCCTCTCTAAACAATCTACCAACCAGCCCTTGTTCGCTCTCTACCCCCCCCTCCCCCTCCCCCTTCCCTTCCCTCCCCTTGAAGAACATATATATCTATTATTTTTTTAGTCCTATATCCCTCCAGCGTTCCCTCCCACTCCCACTCCTCTCACTCCCACTCCGCCCCTCTCCCCCGCCTCAACTTTACACTGAGTGACCAAACATAAACATATCTAGAGTGTTTTTCGGCAAGGACTCGCGGGGTTTCCTTGAATTTTCGCGCGGCCGTAATGATGTGGTGTTTAATACTGCAGCCGAGGTAGCGAGCAGGGGAGAGGGAAGGAAGGGGGAAGAAGAGAGGGAGAGTGATAAGTGAAAGAGGAATGGGTTAGAATTAGAGATGGGAGAGAAGGGAGGAAGAGGTAGAAGAAGAGAGATGAGAGGAAGGGATAGAAGAGAGATGAGAAGAAGAGGAACGGGGTAAAAGAGAGATAAGAGGAAGGGGGCAGAAGAAGAGATGGGAGAGGAGAAGGAGGAGGAAGGGTAAAAGAGAGATGAGAGGAAGAGGAAAGGGGGTAGAAGAAGAGAGGGGAGTTGAGGAGGAAGAAGAGGAGAGAAATGGAGGAAATGGAAGAGAGAGATAGGAGAGAAAAAAGAGGAGGGACATGAGAATAAAGATGGAAAGGAGACAAAAGGAGGAGGAAGAGAAAGAGAAGACATGGGCAGAAGAAGAGATAGAGAAAAGACAGGAGGAGGGAGAAGAGGAGAAAACGAGACTGAGGAAGAGCAGAAGAGAGAAGGGAGATGATGAGTAGGAGGCGGAGGAAGATAGAGGGAGAAGAGAGGAGACGAGAAGGATGAAAGAGAAGAGAGGGCGAGAGAAAGCAGAGAGGGATTAGGAGTGAGATGAAAGGGACATAGAAAGAATAACACACATAAATGGATAAAAAAAGAAAAATGGGAGGAGAAATATTATACTAATCATTGTTAATATCAGACAAGGTTAAATTCGGTTAAATTTGTATAATAACTATAAGTGATATTACCAAATAATGTTATATAGTCATTTATACTGTTGATATAATCCCTTCAGTGTAATACTTGGCAACGGTATGTATTGTAGATCTATCTATCTATCTATCTATCTATCTATCTATCTATCTATCTATCTATCTATCTATTTATTTATATCTATCTATTTATCTATCTATCTATATCTATCTGTCTGTCTTTTCTTTTTTGCATATGGAAGAAAAAATAAAAAGCTCTAATCAACAATAACTTAAAACACACATAAAAATAAATAACAATAACAATAAACTACAAGAATATCAAGACGCCTCTCTTTAAACTTTACCAAGACGCGCTGGGGAGAGTCGAGTTTTTTTGTGTTGAGTTTTTTATTTTTTACAGACCTGAGACACGAGGGAAACAAAAAACGTGTGAGAGGAGAGAGAAGTCTGCCCCCGAACAATGTTTCAGTAGAGTGTAATGACAAACAGTGTAGCAGCGAGCAGAATGTGTGTGTGTGTGTGTGTGTGTGTGTGTGTGTGTGTGTGTGTGTGTGTAGGGGAGGTTAAAGTAGGTGAATGTCGATGGTCAAATGTGAGGGGTAGGAGTAGAGGGTGAAATAGGTGAATGTTGATAGCAGCAGCAGGTAAAAATGTGTGTATGTGGGGGAGGGAGAGTGAATGTTGACGATCTGATCATCATCATCATCATCATCATCATCATCATCATCATCATCATACAAACATGAAAGGTAGAATGAGAAGAGAAACATGGTGACTGAGCTGTGAGATAACTCCCATCACCCCACTACCTCACCGTCATCCTCCCAATAAATAAGAGACTCTACTGACACTTGACATTGTTTCTCTACATCAAGGCGTATTACTCAAATGGTAAAATCTGAACAGTGATTTTTTGTCGATCACATATAATGTATGTCATAACTAACGAGGCCCCATCTCTATGTCACTCCTGCCAGGGTACAAATTGTGTTGAGACAAGAAATGGGGTATGTGTAATTTGCAATTGTAATTGAATGTAATTAATTACACCTTTCCAACGGAGTAATTTCAGTTCCCTATAAAAAATTAATAATTATAATCAATTATGTTCAGTGGTAATATGATACAATATAACAGTGAAAACGAAGGACCCCAACAAGTATATACCAACGTTTTATTAAATCGTGTCTGTCTGTACCGTTATCTTTGATGCCCATGGCGGCATAATGCAGGGTACCGATTTGGGTTCGGAAAAGCTAATTTTCGCATTGTTCTCTGGAGCAAACATAATCGTAATTACAATCAAATACTTTCCTATACCAACTGTAACAAGACATAGACAAAGTAATTGTAATCAATCACTGTAGTGTGTGTGTCCCAATCCTGGTTGACAATACTGTATCCTGACCTCAAGCAAGATACCCAGATTCTTGACCGAGTGGGGGGAGGGGGGGGGGGCCTAAGAGTGAACCATTAGGGGCCAACATTCCTCCATGTTGACTGAGACACTACACCTGCATGACGTGACGTAAGGGAATGAAAGACAACAAGACTGTAGGAACTAATATTACGTTCTGCCTTACATACAAATTATACATAAATTAGCCATATTTCCTCAAGCCTTCCTCTACCCGCACTCATCCTCCCACTGTCCTGTCACCACCACCTTACGTGAGGATTGTTTATATACACCACTTCCCCTCACATCCCACACCTTCATTCTCCCCTCCCCTCCCCTACCCAGCCACATCTCCCACAACCATCCCCCTAAGTCTTCCCCTTAACCTTCTCCACACTCCCCTCCCCACATCCTCCCCTTACCACACCCACCCCTAAACATATCCCCTTCATCCCTTACACACTTCCAGGCTTCACATCTCAACCACCCACCCCAACACAACCCACCGCCCAACAACCTAAATCATCCACACTCCGCCACCCACCCACCCATCCCTACCATACTCCACCGACCGCCCACCTACCCACCCAACCACCTTCCTTCTCTACAATCCGCCGACCACCCACCTCTCCCACACTCAGCCGCCCAACCCTTCTCCTCATCAGGTTGTGGGCGGCCCGGGGTCGTCTGGCCACCCATCAACGAGCTCCTTGTGTAAAAGGTCAGCCATGGACAAACAAAATGCTGCCTCCTGATTGGTCGAGGCCGTGACCTGGCATGGCCGTCTCCATTACCCAAATTAAACCTTTCATACCAGATGAAAACTGATGTGAAGACGAGCAATATTTTCAGACTCCGTATGGCTATTGTCTGAGACTCTGGCCGGGGGTGTGGTGTCTGCTGCCAGTCTGTACCGGCTGTTGGTCCAGAGTACTGTTGTGTCTGTACCGGCTGTTGGTCCAGAGTACCCTGTGTCTGTACCGGCTGTTGGTCCAGAGTACGGCTGTGTCTGTACACGGCTGTTGGTCCAGAGTACGGCTGTATCTGTGCCGGCTGTTGGTCCAGAGTACGGCTGTGTCTGTACCGGCTGTTGGTCCAGAGTACGGCTGTTCGACGACTGTTGGTCCAGAGTACGGCTGTTCTTACGGCTGTTGGTCCAGAGTACGGCTGTGTCTGTACCGGCTGTTGGTCCAGAGTACTGCTGTGTCTGTACCGGCTGTTGGTCCAGAGTACTGCTGTGTCTGACCGGCTGTTGGGCCAGAGCGGCTGTGTCTGTACCGACTGTTGGTCCAGAGTACTGCTGTGTCTGTATCGGCTGTTGGTCCAGAGTAGCTGGTCTGTACGGCTGTTGGTCCAGAGTACGCTGTGTCTGTACCGGCTGTTGGTCCAGAGTACGGCTGTGTCTGTACCGGCTGTTGGTCCAGAGTACGGCTCTGTACCGACTGTGGTCCAAGTACGGCTGTGTCTGTATCGGCTGTTGGTCCAGAGTACGGCTGTGTCGTACCGGCTGTTGGTCCAAAGTACGGCTGTGTTGTACCGGCTGTTGGTCCAGTACTGCTGTGTCTGTACCGGCTGTTGGTCCAGAGTACTGCTGTGTCTGTACCGGCTGTTGGTCCAGAGTAAGCTGTGTCTGTACCGGCTGTTGGTCCAGAGTACGGCTGTGTCTGTACCGACTGTTGGTCCAGAGTACTGCTGTGTCTGTACCGGCTGTTGGTCCAGAGTACGGCTGTGTCTGTACCGGCTGTTGGTCCAGAGTACGGCTGTGTCTGTACCGGCTGTTGGTCCAAAGTACGGCTGTGTCTGTACCGGCTGTTGGTCCAGAGTACTGCTGTCTGTACCGGCTGTTGGTCCAGAGTACTGCTGTGTCTGTACCGGCTGTTGGTCCAGAGTAAAGCTGTGTCTGTATGCTGTTGGTCCAGAGTACGGCTGTGTCAGCCGACTGTTGGTCCAGAGTACTGCTGTGTCTGTACCGGCTGTTGGTCCAGAGTACGGCTGTGTCTGTACCGGCTGTTGGTCTGTACCGGTTGTGGGAGGTGCCAGACAGAAAACAAAAAACTACGTCTATTGTGCCTGTTGTAGTTGTTAATCCTGTTGTAGTTGTTAATCATTTTGTTGTTGGTGATATTGTCGTTGTTCGTGTTAATGATGATGTAGATTTGTTGTAGTACTTGATGTTATTGTTATAGTAGTAGCTCCTGTTGTTGTTGTTGTTGTAGTTCCTGTTGTTGTAGATCCCGTTGTTGTAGTAGCGCCTGTTGTTGTTGTTGTAGTTCCTGTTGTTGTAGTAGATCCTGTTGTTGTAGTAGCCCCTGTTGTTGTAGTAGTTCCCGTTGTTGTAGTAGCTCCTGTTGTTGTAGTAGTTCCTGTTGTTGTAGTAGTTCCTGTTGTTGTAGTAGTTCCTGTTGTTGTAGTAGCGCCTGTTGTTGTAGTAGCGCCTGTTGTTGTTGTTGTAGTAGCTCCCGTTGTTGTAGTAACTCCTGTTGTTGTAGTAGATCCTGCTGTTGTAGTAGCTCCTGTTGTTGTAGTAGCTCCTGTTGTTGTAGTAGCTCCTGTTGTTGTAGTAGCTCCCGTTGTTGTAGTACCCCCGTTGTTGTAGTAGCTCCTGTTGTTGTAGTAGCTCCCATTGTTGTAGTAGCTCCCGTTGTTGTAGTAGTTCCGTTGTTGTAGTAGCTCCCGTTGTTGTAGTAGCTCCCGTTGTTGTAGTAGCTCTGTTGTTGTAGTAGCTCCCGTTGTTGTAGTAGCTCCTGTTGTTGTAGTAGCTCCTGTTGTTGTAGTAGCCCCTGTTGTTGTAGTACATCCCGTTGTTGTAGTAACTCCGTTGTTGTAGAAGCTCCTGTTGTTTCTAAGTATTGATATTTTTATTACAACATACAGTCGTCACCAAACAACCCATAACAACTCTCTAATTCTCTACGACGCCACAACCTAAGAATAATAACACAAATAGCATATAACTTTAACATAAGGGAAACCTGTACCACTTGACAACTAACGAGAGAGAGAGAGAGAGAGAGAGAGAGAGAGAGAGAGAGAGAGAGAGAGAGAGAAACACTTAAACCGTCCTCTTACCGAATGTACAGTACCAAGAAACACGATATACTGAACAATTTATAGGACCAATAAACTTAAAAACACAGGGTCGTATATTATATAATACCATAACAACTCCAAGTGCCGAAAAACAATCCATTGAGAAACACCTATAGTACCAAACTAGTACTATACGTGTTGGTGTTGCTGTGTCATCTTAGAAGCCTGGTCACCCCCCAGTACACATGGTCGATATCTCACCCTTCTAGTTTTATATTCTTCATGCTAGGAAATTCATATCCCCAGAGGCAAGGTAAATATTGCAACACCTCCCCTCACCTTGCATGGCCTCATCTTACTTCACCTTACCTCACCTCGACTCACTTTACCTCGCCTTGTAATCTCACCTCGTCTCACCTTGCCTTACTCTACTCCTCACCTACCTCGCCTCACCTTGCCTCCTCGCCTCCAGGTATGCATTTAAAGGAAATACACAACTTAACTGTCTTTAAAAATTTCTACACAATAGCGGAACGAGAACGTAGCTGCAGGTAGGTGTGTGTGTGTGTGTGTGTGTGTGTGTATTATCCTCTCTCTCTACGATGCTGCTACATATTTCACAACAACACGTCACTACAGGCTGAATACTACACGGGTGAATGTAAACAAAATATATCAATAACACTGCCATAATTTTTTCTTTTCTGTTTGATGGCTAACTCCCTGTTCACCTACACTAATGAACGAGTATAGTTATCCCGTGTTATATGCCTACAATAGCAAGTGGACCAAGGTAAGTAAATATATGGTTTAATATTCCAGGTGAAGAGGGAGTTTTCGGTCACCTGCACGGCTCTCATCTTTAGCGACGATAACACATCCCTCATGGGGTGACCTGGCTAATGTCCTGTACCTGATGACTGCCTAGGTGAGGAAGACCCCGGACTCACTTGATAATTAAGGGCGAGAACCTACAATAAGGCTTCTGACTACAATAGCCTGAAGGCTGAGTATCGAGGAGGAAATGTGGGAGGAGGAGAGAAAGTATTGGATAAGTGAAGAAGTTCAACAAGGTCAAGGCCTCGAGACACTCACTGCTCCTCAAGAGTATAAACAAGTCCTGGAAAGTTTCAATATCATCCGTCATTGTTGCTCAACACACTGAGCTTAAAGGTCAGCCATGAGAGTGACCTTACACACAAAGAATCACATCTGACGCCAGTCATTACTCAGTGCACTGATGTTAATGAGTACATCATAAAGTGTGAAGGGTCAGGTAGTTCATGTTAAGACCTGACAGTGCTCCCCCTTCAGGTATTTAACTATAATTTCCTCTGAACATCCACAGCCAGCTGGAAAGTTATCAAAACATGTAAAATAACAGTCACCTACAGGTACTATACTAAGTTTGCTCTAACATTAACAATACTGTAAACAAAAAATATTGTGTTCCAAGTGAACGTAAAAGAAGTGGAACTTGCACAAACATAGAAGACTAAATCGTGACAAAGATGTGAGGAAAATTAACAATTTTAACTGAAACAAAGCAATAATAATCACAGCTTGATGGGAAATGCTAACATTAAAAATTCAATTAACACACATCACCACGTGAGTCAGGCCATTTATACTCCAGCTCCATGCAAATGAAAGTTGTTTGAATTTTTGCAGAATATATTACTGATGGATGAAAATTAAGTAGTACGATACGAAACACAAATTAGACTCTACTGACACCCGACAAGACAGTCGAGAGAGCTTGAAGATACGCCTGAGTCTCTGATCGTTGTGACATATGTAACTTCTCTTCCTCATCAGAACACCGACAAAAGACTTAACCCTGGCGATATCTTGGCTACTTAAAGGGATCTCAAGAGGTTCACATCATAGACCAATAAAGTGTAGTATGTTGTGACACGTCCATCTTGTGCTTCAGTATACAGTAGGTCAGTCTGATATCTCTCCCCTATAGGACTGACTGACTGACTGAATTGACTGATAGGAATTACATCAACTGTGCCAGATTAGTGGGAGATCTCGTGTTGACATTGAGCCTCAGTAATAGTAAAGTATCGATAAAAATATAAAATATATCCTTTTAGAACATCAAGTAAACAGCAAGAACGATACATAGTCGGAGATATACTCATAAATATTAGTAAATTATTTATATATTTATAATAATTTTCTGTTGCTGTCTTAACAAAGCTTAGTATACATTCCTGTCAGATGTATAACCATGTATAGGTGAATAGAAAGGAAACAGTCATATTTTAAGTGAGACAGTACACACACACACACACAACACACACACACACAAGGAAGCCATCACCGTGACCAGCCTTGACACCTGGCAGTTACCTGTACCGTGATAACACACTCGATTTACCTGACAGGGGAACAACAAACTCAAACTAAAACCTGATTATCATCCTGCCTTCAATATTGCACATAATCTTTCTTATCATTACTACTGACATACAGAAGATAAAAGTCTAGAGGGGAAACGATAGAATTACTTAAAAAAAACAAATTTGGGATATTTCACCATTAATCACTACTTTAATAAGGTCAATGATCCCTACACAAGTACTAAGTACACAAGAGTCCCACGGCTAAAAATCACAACCAAAGAAACCACCACAACCTACAACGAACTACAACAACCT